AGCATAGACTACTGCTGAACAATGCGTGCCAGGCCATCCTTAACAAGTTTACGCGCTGAACCATGAAATCTATTTTAGCCTATTTTTGAAGAGCACCTCTAAAGAAAACATGTTTTCTCCGATTTTATCTGTTCGAATAAATATGGAAACATCCAAATCGAACGCAGTGTCATTTGTCTTCAGAACTCAACTATAACAAGCTAAAAAGGGTTTTTTTGGGGGAGGGGGTTCATGCCAAGATGCAAATTTTGAATGTAGACGAAGTCATTCTGAGAAAACAGAGAAAACGAGGGGAACCCTCGCCCTGTATTCGTAGTGGATGAAACTCTCGCCCTGTGTTTGTAGTGGATAAAACCCTCACCCTGTGTTTGCAGTGGATAAGCCCTCGTGCACGCCAAACTGGCTACAAACAATGGCTACGTGCATTGTTTGGCTTGCTAATCCACTACGAATGCGGGGCGAGGGTTCCCCTCGTTTTCTCCGAATAACGCAATCTACATTCAGAATTCGCATCTTGGCGTGAACCAAAAAAGCCCTTTTTAGCTTGTTATAGTTAAGTTCCGCAGACAAATGACACTGCGTTCGATTTGGATGTTTCCACATTTATTTGAAGAGATAAAATCAGAGAAAACGTGTTTTCCCTAGAGGTACTTTTTAACTAGTAAAGGTGTTGCAAAGTCGATGAAGAATATCAATTCCCACTGTAGTGAGAATTTCTGGTGAATCGTAAAATTGATCCATTGTGCTTCAAGTTTATTATAGAAAAGTTCCAGTCATTTATTTTTATTCACTATATAATTTCCAAAAGTATGCTTATAGAAATAATCTACCGTGGGTCTAAACTATGATGTAACATTGATACTGAGACATCAGTCTTCTTCGGTTAAAGCACACAGGTTTATTTTGAAACCTGTGTACTTTGATCGAAGATTAAAGTAGCCGATGGAATTATAAAATCTAAGCTCTGGGTAACATTATGGAGGATAATGCAGCCGTCGTTCTGACACGTGAAGCGCTTTGCCTGTGTCGTTGGTTCCTTCAGACCAAGTTCTGTAAACTAGTCTCGGAAAAGTGAGACTTCTGAGTGGGCCAGGCCTTTTGTCATGAAGCGGGTAGCTTGTGTGCCTTATACCTCCTTAATTTGTCGGGAATTAGCATAGATCTACCATTAATTTTGTTACTGAGCTCATATTGTTCACATTACACTTGTCCGCAGTGTACCGTGATTGTATCAAAGGAAAGTTACCCGCACAGTGTATTAATGAAGTTGAACATGAATCAGTTAATCAGTTCATTATTTCATTGTGCGCGCTCCTTTCACCACACCACCCTTGTAATTTAAAATAGGGCAACCCAATTGTTTGTAGCCAATACTAAGTGTATTATTCCTGCTAGTAGTTTTTCCAGGCACTAAAAGTCAGGGCGCCGGTTTCGTTCTGTCTTACGTCAAACATTATTGTACAATGGTAATTTAATATTTTGTCTGTTTGTTCCTATGGAGGTGTTCTTTGTTTAAAGAATGACAGGAATGGACATGAAGGGAAGTGTGTGATCCGTACACCTTCTGATCACGAACAAGAGTAATGTCAAACATTTCTGTGGGTGAGGCCTGAGTGTTGACAGCATCAGGTATCAACTTTGCCTTTAGTAAAAACCTCATTACAGCGCGCTGCAGCGGTGAGATCTGTCACCAAGGCTTGGTCAGTTGTCAGTTCGGCAACTCCAAAGGCAAAAAAACAATCTCTCTGAGACCCCCCCAACATCCTCCCATTCTGTAGACTGCTTGAGGAAAACACTCAGCCTTCCAAGACCGTGATCAATGAAATAACCGTAACCGTCCAGATTCTTCCCGGGGAAGTTCTCATCTCCCGAAAATTAAATCTTGCCAATTTTGTCCTTCTAGCCCTCTGGTACAATCTTCTTATGGGCTGTTTTACCAACCTATCGTTTGTTTAAAATGATTAGATATTGATGAAAATTGACCGATGCTTTTGTGTAAGTAGGCTTATATGTTTTTCTGTTTATTAATGTAGGTTTCTTGAATGTTTATGTACATTTTATCTTAAACGTCGTATTAAAAGGGCTGTTAATGCATGACAATTATGAAAGAAACTGACACTAATCAAATACAGACATCTCTACATGTAAAATGGATGAGTAGCCTGAGCTACTATCCGCTCAAGGCAGGAACGAAAGAGGGCGTGTTTTGTAATGAATTGGCAGTCCTTTGTACGCATTCCCCGAATACGGGCACAGGTTTATACACGTTTGACACGGAGCACGCTAAGTACACGCAATAAATTTAGTCTGGAATGTATGGTCGTGCACGCCAAACGTGTGCAAAAACCCAGTTGGAAAACTTAGTACCATCTGCCTTTCTTTCGCCGGTGAGGGTGCACTTCAGTTCAGTTGGCGCTCTCAATGGAAACAAATGAAAATGCAGTACAGTTGTTACACATAAATATCCTTTCAGAATCAGGTCGATCAAGTCGTTAGGCAGGCGCCGGATCAGTCGTATCAAATTTAACACCCCAGTTTTTGCAGTGCACCGTGCAAGTCGGCCAGATAAGCAATTTTGTTGTTATCTATAAGGTTTATGTACCCCATTTATGATAATTGCCCCAACCTTCCTTCGAAAAACGCATGCACAACGGTTCAGATACGCCTATTTTATTATAATAATCCCTAGCCCTCCTATAGGAAAAAAAACGGCGAACCGGCTGAGCACTAATCGTAAAACGACGCAGCCTGCTGGCTCATATTGTTCTGAACGACAAACGCGACCAACCAGCGACTTGATTTCAAGTTAGTGGTTCCCACTACGAAGCAACGTACATCGGAATCACGGAACCGGCTATATTTATGGTGAGGAACTGCCAGTGCGAGGCTCTGCATGCTTACGACGGCAGCAAGCAAAGGGCGAATGTTTTATTCCACTGAGCTTTGTCTCGTGGAGATGCATATTCTCACAACTGCACTCATTACCACTCAAGACTTGTTTAATGAACTCTTTGAATGGTTACATTCTCTAGCAGAGTGAACTGTTTCCATTGACAGCCTGTTCCTTAACAATGATGTTCATTACCGGGGCTAATTCAGAAAAACTCAATTCACTCGGACAACTGTGAGTTTTTTCTATATATTAACAGTATACACCACGAAGAACGAAAACATATTCCAAAAAATCAGAATGTTTCAGTAAGAAAATACTTTTAAGATAAGCACCCACGTTTGCCTTTGGAAAAACTGACGTTCAGTTACTTAAACACCAAACAAATTTTTCGCAAAGAATTTAATTTAAAAAGTGCATCTACAGCACACAATGTTAACAAATCAGGCTACATATTTTCAACACTTCAGTTTTAGTACAAAGGTTTGCCATGTGTTGCGCAAGACTTTCCTGTGTTCTTCCTGCATGAACGTCAGGAAAAGCGTGGCGCACATCAACTGGGTGAACGAGACCAAGTACGGAGCAACTATAATGATCATGGCTACACTTGGGCCAATTTCCTCTACATACATGGCCAGATTAAGCCCTACCACAAAGGGAATCCAGAAAAGACTGTAGGACCCCAGGTAAAATACGTATTTCATGGTTTTACTGGAGTCCCTGCCAAGCTGATGGATTCGGTTGTCCCCGACGTGGGGCAGCATGTTACGCTCGGTTTGTATTTTGCGTCGCTGCTCTCTGGCGATGCGTAATAGAGCCAACATGAACCCATTGATAATCAGGAGAGAGAGAAATGCTATGACAGAAACAAAAATGCTAAACATATAGAAGGGTGGATTCAATCTCACATATTCCACGTAAGATGTGGTGGCGTTGTTGACGTGCAACTCACTAGTAAAAGACGCAGCGGCATAACACGAAGAAACAATAATGGACGAGAGCCAACTTGCGCCTATGAGAATGCCACATACCTTATTGGTCACTGTGCTCAAATACCTCAGCGGATGAGCGACTTTGAAATACCGGTCCCCGGCTACAAGAGAAGAGCTAGACAAGTAGGAGAACGCGATCAAGATAGCAGGAATGAGAAACAACGCATGTGCACGTAATGCGGCGATGTCTGGATACGTTGCCGAGTACGAGTACTGCATCAGAGGAGGGCATATGACAAAAATACAAAAAATGTTTGATATGCAAACTGATGAGCACAAATTGGCCAGGAAATAGTTGGAGGCGCTGCGCAGACCTCTGCTCAAAACCACCGAGAGAATGACATAGGAATGGATCAACAGACTAATCACAGCCATGAATATCGCGGCTATGAGTAAGGCATACCCTACAGGGCTAAGTAAAGCATTGGGCTCTGTGTTCAGGGAAAAACTTAAACTGCTTTCCATCCTTTTAGCAATGACACATCTGATAAAGATCTCTTAAAAAGGCGCCGCAAACTGATCAATTACACAAAGACTCCTTGCAATTCTTTGGAAAAGAAACCTAGACTAAGACACGGTATAACAGTGCTATTCAAAATGATTGAAAATTACACAGCGAGAAAAAAATGAATAGATTTAGCAATTGGATATCAACAGTTGAAAGTTTTAAGAGGAAAGTACTTGGAATGTTTCAGTTTAAAACTGCTGTCTTACTGGGTCCCAACTTATTTGCAATTAGAATGGCAGCTTGTCAAGCTTGTCAAGGTCACGAAGTGGAAGGGGTTGGTAATGAAGAATCCAGAGAAGTCTTGCAAAGAAGTCTTGCGCAGAGGCTGGAGTTGACACTTCACGTTCGGGTGCAACAGCGGAATACCAGGTCAAAGGTCATTGATTCGAGTCCCCACAGAGTGATGAATTCGCTTTGTTTTCTGTTTATGAAACTTTACACAACGACCGGGGGTTTGACGAAATAGAGTGCCGTTGAATCTGCAAATCCTGGTGAGAGTGAACCGATTACACGAGTGGTACGGTCGCCGATCTACTGATCCAAGTTGGATAAGTTGGTATCCCTCACAGAAAACATATTCCAACTGATGGAAAGCCGAACGCAGAGGAACTTTACCAACCCCGCCCAGTTGACACCTGCTGTGGTTATTTCTGGTTGCTCGTACTCATTAATGTTTCCACTCAACAGAATACTAATAAGTGACTGGACAGCCTTCGAGATTTTCTGCCTCTCCGCATGACCACAGGGGATGACAGAGCTGCGTTTTATTCAGGATGAATGTCAAACTAAAAACGCACTTCCGATTTTAAGCATGATATAAATCCTCTTAAGCACGTTGGTTATTAAGCGTGAGTCTGTGTATTTCCGACACGGAACTGCCCTTCAGTAGACAGTGCACTCGAACAAGGAACCACAGATAGTATGGTTCAAGCAATTTAACCCACACCAAAAATGTCAGGATGTCAATGAATTGTCTTCTGGTACTTATGTGATGGTTTCCTCCAGTAGTCGGAAACATTTCCCCTTCTTCCAAAATCTAAGTCGAATCAATTTTGCGATGCTGCCGTGACTCACCCGTTTATAATGGTCTCGAAGAGCCTATTTGAGCCATGCAGAATTGATGTTTCATCCGAAAGCAGAGACAGCAGAGGAAATCACCTGTCAAATCCATCTTCATTAGATCCATCAACGTGAGCAGGATATTAGCTTGCGAAGTGATCAAAGGTAAATACGGGTGGTGCATGCAGTCGGGATGATCTTGAGGAAATGGGATTTTTAGTAGGTCATTTGCAATATCAGCCTCATGCAGAACCGTACCAGCCCTGTATTTTGCTTGCCTGTTGACAATCAGTAGGTCATTTGGGAGGGACCAGTATGGCCTAATTTCTAAAAGCTAAAAGCTCTCTAAAAGCCTCCTTAGCCTTGGTCATGATGTGTGAGTTTATTGATATGACCGGATGGACGGGGAGGTCCATCGTTTATTGTGCCTTAACTGCCAGTACGCATCCTAAAAAGTACAATAATCTAGGATACGTACAGGTACGTTTTTTTTAAAGGGCAGGCATTCTTTTGAGTCTTAATCACAATTCGGAAGAGAGCGGTGAAGATCACACTGTGACGTACTAGGCATATGGCTTCTTTGCGACTCAGACACGTGAAATCCTACCGGTGTCTTATGGTCTAATCATTTCCTCATCAAAGCTGACAGAGACTTGCCACTTCCACAGAGGTGGAATACAAACGTCACTTGCAAATTGGTAAACTACTGCAGGACTTCTGTCCGTGGCCAATCAGGCGCCACCTTACGGCAACAAATAGCCAGCTGCTTTGCTGTTAAAGTTTTGATGTTGTGGTACAACTTAGGGGACTGTGCGTGCAACGACCACTTCTGTCATCTTCCTTGACAACCCTCACACAACAAGGAGTGGTAAGACTTTCTACATCTACACAGACCATTGCTTTCACTGGGAGGTGAAATCACTGCTGTGGAAGGCTAGGTTAAGACGGCAGGTGGTAGACAGAGCCTGTGATTTGAAACCCTGACAGCGAGTTCATTGTTGAAAAATGGCAACTGCTGGGAAGGAGTTGCGAGGCGAGGCGTAGAAATCCTGGAGGATACGTACCTTTACTGGCTCTCCAGATGAAAACAATAAAAAGGTGGAAACCACAACAAGGATACGCATAGACGGGATGGAATGATATGGGACTCGGTGATTCTAGGGATGGTGCCAGATCCTTTTCACCGAGGACGAAATACCAGTCCCCATGTCATAAAGGCGGCTGAGTGCGTGAAGACACTTTGGAGATAGTAACACCCGTCTGTTCCGAGCCAATACGACAAAACATACCCGAGGTTTGAAGAGACACGAAATCCAGGCAGCGTGGCACATAGTGTTAGTTTCCTGAAATGATGAGAAATCACTTTACGGTTACACAAAAACTTATGGAATGGTTCTTATTCTGAAAGATTAATAAGATTTCTCCATCATTGAAAGGCAACATCTTCATTTAACCCTGTCCTTCACGTGCATACTCGTAAAATGTGGAAGTTGTGCTAGTTCAACTATTTGGAACATGAAACCAGGTTGATATGTTATGTGCAGCAAGTAACAGGGTTGAGAACGACATTGTAATACTCTCCAGCTCAAAATCAAATGGAAGGCCATTAAGATTCAGAACACTGGTCGGAGAATCTTGGTTTGGAAGTGGTCGTCTAGAGGGAGTGGTAATAATGGAATGAATTTTCAATCTTTGACAATTTTTCTGAGGTCTGGAAGAGAATTAGTGGGCCTTCACCACAATGGAGAGACACAATTCAACAGCTCACTGTGGGATGTCTCTTCCCACAACTTTAACGGTAATTTTAAGTCTTTTGGGAACAATCTTCTGTCTGATCTACCTTTGGATCATCTTTTCTACCATTCTCAGCCGCAAACTCAGAAATCATTCCAATGTTTTTCTAGCGAGTTTATGTGCCACTGAGCTTCTAAGCAACTTAGTGACCATTATCCAAATCAACCACGATATAAATTCCCCTTTTCCCAAACCAACAGTGTTGTTTTTGGCCGGCATCTTGGGTGCTGGTGCTGATGGCTATTTACTGTTTTCTGCAGTTGTTGCTGCTGACAGATATTTCAAAATTGCCAAGCCCATGCAGTACTTGCGACTTATGTCCAACAAAGTATGCGCCTGTATTATCTCAGTTGTTTGGGGTCTCCTAGCTGTTGTTTTTATTGGTTCGTTTGTTGCTAATCTAGGCTATTTTGACGCAGATATGGTATCAATCTGTGATCTGTTTCTGAATGAAAATTTCTTGCGTCAAATAGTCATCCTTTTGGACATATTTTTCATTTCCTCCTTGCTACCGATTGCGGCATCTGTTGTGGCCCTTGCCTCCATTTCCAGGAAGCAGCAACGCAGGATAGCGGCCGAGAGAATAAATTTGGGAAACATTGCTGCTGCCCACCAACAAGCTGGTACCAACGAAGAAGCTGGCCCCAGAAGGCCACATTCCCATAAATTAGTCTGGTATTCCAGCACGTACTTTGCAACAATCGTTATCGCATGGGTTCCAAACGCGCTCCTCATTACCCTCGTCATGTTAGGACATGTCAGCCTGACCCAGGCTTTGTACACTTTTATGTACGTGATCAATGGCATTGCGATTCTGCAGATGGGATTGGGGGCACTTTTTCTGGCATATGTACAAAGCGAGCATAGACAAGTGCTGCACAATGCGTGCCAGGCCATCCTTATAAGGTTGAAGCGTTAACCGATGTAGCCTATTTTTGGACTATTTTGTAATGAGCAAAGGTGCGCGTTGGGAGTGCCGTGCCCTTGTGGGTAAGAGCACCGGATTCGTGGTCGGCGGGTAAAGCCACAGGTTACAGGTTCGAATCCAGCCTGGGGTCATGGTGCGTGTGCACTTGGGCAAGATCCAATGCCTCCCTCCACATAGGAGCAATTGGGTACCCTTGAGGGCAGAGATGGTTTGTGGTTGATTTAGCTGCGTTGCGCCGAAATGGCGACATTGAGCTGTATGCACCCTAGGAAGCTGAGATGGTATTTGGAATGTTTCATGGGCCCAGTGATCAGGGATAATAATAATGATGGAATTGCACCTGGATCGGTTTTCCGGATAAGTGGCGTTATTATAAATCTATATTATTATTGTAGTAAATTAGACGAAGAATATCAATCCACTTATGGTAAAAGTTTAGATTGTTTCTACAGTGTACGTGTATATGCACAGAATATGGATCTTAATGAAGGAAACTCCAATCTCAACATGTTCATGTTACCTCTATAATGGGAACATAAGTACATTCATTTGCATGTTTTATTGCTAGTTCATACCATTTGTTTGATGAAAGAAGTACATTTATGTTGTAATTCCTGCCTTTAAAATCCATCCCCCATGGTCCACTGGTGTAAGATAATTGTACTTATTTATGCATGTATCATAATTATCATATATTAGTTTGACATAGGTTTCACTGTTGATGGTTTTCTGTAATGCCCAGGGGGGTACAGCCTATTCCCTTTCAATATTTGAAACTATTTTTCATATCTTAATTTTTTCCATACCACACTGTGATTTCAATAGCATCCTAAATTCAGGTTTGTGAGTTGTGTTAATGGATATTCTATAGGCTTGTGTAAATTGTTATAGCTGTCTGTGAATAGTGAAAAATTCCTCAGTTTGGTCTCTGGCCAGGATGGCTTTTTTTTTTCTTCAAATCACATCAAATAAAAAATGGATGAGTTGTACTTTAATTTCACCTTCAAATACTTCTGGTCATAAATCTACACATATGCCGCTATTGAACTTGTATTTGCAAAATGTGCCTATCTAGCGTACTCAGCTTGTAGGAATGAGGTACTAAAGAACAGAGCTTACATTTTTAAGAGAAATTCAAAATGAATCTGCTATGATTAAAGTTTCTTGGCTGTATTAAAGTAGGGGTTGGAATAACAGACACTAAGATCAGAGTGATTTCACGGAGGAAATTTCTGCTTATATTCTGAAACACGAGGTGTCCGCCTCTAATAGGAGCACCCCCTCATCGGTTGAAAAGAGCTCCGTTCGTCGAGAGTGTTCATTTTGATGGTAGCCATGCCTGTGCAACGCTTGTGTTTCATAGTCGATGCGCAGTTGGTACTAAAGGAGCCTCGATCCGCTGCTATAAAAACTACGCCCTCTCTAGGTCCAGCTCGGAGCCCATAGAGTGTTCCTTCAGAATAAGCTGCGCAATTAACCACAGACGAGTGAGCTCTCTAAGTAAAAGTTGACATGAATCTGACAGCCTGAGTATTTCTTCCGTGGAATTGGCTTGAATCAATCATTACCGAGTAATTCCAACGCTGACAGCTCTTGTTTGTGGTGCTATTTAACAAACAGCACGCTGGTAAGACCAGGCCAAAAGCTGACCGCAATGTCGTCGGCATGGCAGCGTTAGACGAGCGTGCTCCCATCTTGAGGACCACAACTGGAGCACTGTGTCTGCAAAGTAACCTGCTCATGTGAAAAGCTGCTACACGGTGAATTTCAGTGGATTGTTGCTCAGAAAGTAATTGCTTCACTTCCACAGGCAGGGAAGTGAAAAAATAGAAACGAATGGAATTTGGCGTGAACAAACGTCAGCAGACGTGGATTGTGACATGCGCTAGTGCCATGATGAATGGGCTCTGCCATTGAAAACTTCTGGATTAAAGAGAAGGACACAACAACTGTCGGTTTCTGCCGAATTTCCTGGAAAATAACCAACCATGACAACAGTTGCCTTGAATACTAGTTGTAAGACGTCTGTGGAGTTTATCCAGAGCAGAGTGGTGCTTGTATATTACGTCCTTCCACTCAGCCCAAGTGCGACAACACGGTTCTGTGAGCCGGACGTTTGGTGACGGGGAGCACCACGCTCAGTGCAGACAGCTGAAGTTCGTGGAGGATCATTTGGCTTTGGCAGAGACTCGTCTCTACAAACTGAAGCTTGAGGTGATACCAAGAAGCTTGGCAAATGGTGGCAACTTTCCCCGCAGTGGTGGGGAAATCCCTACATAGTTCTAACAACCAATAGAAGCTTAATGGCAGGTTGCTTGGCAAAGCGATCCGATTCCTCCTCATCAGTGGTAACTGCCTTGTCCTCCGTCCCACGCTGAGGGAGATCCAAGTCTTGCCACATCGCAGATTTGGAACCTCGATCCATGATATTTGGCATGTGCAGTATGCAATCAGTGCAGAAGATGACAGCAACACTGGAGTTCCAACGTGACTCGACTTTCATCAGATAATCTGGACGCTCCAAATCTACAAGACAAAACTCGCCGTTCAGATTTGGGACTCTGCAGGCGGCTTGGTTAAAGTGACTTCACGGATTTGAATGGAACCTTGGAATTGACGTGGTGAGAGGCAAACACTGACCTCTTATCTCTCTGGCAGGTTCGCCAAGTCAGTCGGGCGATACCAAAATGGAAAACAACAACTCTCTCGTTACAGACGCCCCCGCGGATTTATCTCTGCCAAAGACGGTCACAGTGATTTTAAATGTACTTGGAACAATCGTCTGTCTTATTTACCTTTGGCTGATCTTCTCGATCCTTCTCAGCCGCAGACTCAGAGATCATTCCAATCTTTTTCTGGCAAGTTTACTTGTAATTGAGCTGGTTTGTATTCTTCTAATCGGGATACAAATCAACCTGGACACGAATTTCCCTTTTCCCAAAACACCTATGTTGTTGTTTGCTAGTATGTCAGGTGTATTCGCCGGTTGCTATTTCTCATTTTCCGTTGTTGTTGCTGCTGACAGATATTTCAAAATTGCAAAGCCAATGCAATACCTCCGACTGATGTCCAACAAAGTATGCGCCTGTATTATTATAGTTTCATTTGGCCTGTTAATTGTTACCTTGATTGGTTCATTTGTTGCTCACTGGCACAATTTCGACTCAGATTTTGTATCGGTGAATGATTTGTATACAAGTGAAGCTTTCTTGCACCAAACGGTCATCCTTATGGACAGCTTTGCAGCTCCCTCCTTGCTAATGATCGGGGCATCCGTCGTGGCATTGGCACGCATTGCTCGGAAGCAGCAGCACAAGATAGACGCTGAGAGAATCAATCTTGGGACTATTTCCACCAATGGCCCTCAAGTCAAAGAGGAGGTCGGCCCAATCAGAAGGCCGTCTTCACATAAATTAGTCTGGTACTCCTGCACATATTTTGCCACTATTGTCATCGCCTGGGTTCCCAACCTGGTCACCATCACTCTTGTCATGCTTGAGTTGGTCATCCTCACGCGGACTGTGTACGTCGTCATGTTTGTTCTCAGTGGCACTGCAATAACGCAAATGGTGTTGGGGGCGCTCTTTCTGGTGTACATGCAAAGTGAACACAGGTCAGTGT